CTGTGGCAAGTAATTGCACTCATACAGATACATCACTATTAGTCTGGTACATTTATATGAGAAAATAAGTCCCGTCTTAAAAAAAAAAAAAAAGAAACAAAGTAGTTAAAGAAGTTTTCAAAAGAATGCACAAGCCGTTGATATTTGTAACATTAGAACTGGTAGTTCAGAGACAAGAAAATTTTCTGTTTAAATTTTAAAATATTAAATGTTGCCAAGTACAGTGGTGCACAGCTGTAATCCCAGCATTTGGGAGGCAGAAGCAGGCAGATCTCTGTGAGTTCGAGGCCAGCCTGGTCTAGAAATCAAGTCTAGGACAGGCAAGGCTATATAGAGAAACCTTGTCTCAATAAACCAAACCAAACCAAACCAAGTAACAAACAAACAAAACAACAAAGCAAAATTTAAATTTTTCATAAATATCTACAGAAATTTGTTTCTTCTTTGCTGGAATTTTAGCTGGATTTAATTGTATCTTAATGAAAAGGGATATGGTTTGCATGTGATCAGTTTGCTTCTTTTATATTTTTTGTTTCATTGTGATTAATCTGAGATGTAAAAATAAATCTAGCATTTACCTTTTATTTGTTCTAGTCATGTGGGTTTCCTAAAGTAAAAAGAATGATCTATAAGTTGGAGGGAAAATGCATCTTTTCTAGTACAAGGGTTCTCGGTGAATTGTTAAGGTATGGCTGTTGCTTGTGTCTCTCAGCAATGAAATCTATGGGAGCTTACTTTGTTATGATCTTGGATAAACCACAGAATCATGTATTCTACAGTTTGGAGGGTTAAGAGTCACACACTTTTCATTCTCCTTCTCTACAAATAAAGGACTAGACTATTAGGTTCAGGTTCCTTCTAACTCTGATAATTAACACACCAAACTATCAGTTGAGCAATAATTCCTAGTGCCAAGGCTTTCCATGTAGAATACTGTGGTTTGATGAATCACCATGATTTTTTTCTTTACTTTTATTTTATGTGTATGGGTATTTTGCTTGCATATATGTCTATATACAATGCCCACAGGTGCCAAAAGAGGGCATCAGATGCCCTGGGAATGGAGGTCTCGATAGTTGTGAGTGATCATGTGGTTTTTGGGACCTAAATCCAGTGCTTTTTATTTTTTTTTAACTTTTAATTGGTTCTTTGTGAATTTCACATCATGCAGTCCCACTCATTTCCCCTCCCCTTGTATCCCACTCTCCACCCTTGCAACCTCTCCCACAACAGAGAAAAAAAATCTCGTAGTGGAGGCTATAGTGTGTCACACATGGCCTGTCCTGCAGTACACCCTTTTGTCTACACTTTTTTGCTTGTAAATGTTCATTGCAATGACTCCTTGGTCTGGTACAAGGCCTCTGGCTTCTGGTACTCTATCGATACTGGATCCTCACTGAGCCTCCTCTCAAATATCCTGTTGTTGCCCTGTGTCATGGAAATCCTGTAGTTTTAGATCTGTAGGACTGGCCCCTTCATGTACTCCAGCAGTTCATGGATGGGGTTGATATAGGTGTGGGTTAATTCAAGCCCTGGATCAAGCCTTAGAGGTATCTGAGCTGGTCAGCCTACTGGCTTTCCTGCTCTCACACTCTTGAGGCTGGCTCACCGGCCACCCCTGCAACCAGGGTCAGCTCTACCTTGTTTCCTACATGAGGTGCAAGGCCCACTTTTCCAGAGTGGTGCAGCTGGTGAGGGACATGGCCAGTTTTTCCACTCTCATGACCTGAGGGCCAGATCTCCCGCCTGCAATATGTGGTGAGGGACAAGGTGCTGCAGGACAGACAAGTTGTGGGGTCATTTCTTCCATGCTCACGCCCTCCAGGCCTGCTCACCTTCCCCCTTGCCCCAGGCATCAGGGTTAGCTCTGCTGCCCAGGTGCAGTGCAGGGTCCTGCTCTCCTGAATGCTGCAGCAGGTGAGGGACGGGGACAGCTCTCTGGCTCTCATGACCCTGTAGAGGCCAGCTCTTGAGCCCACAGCTGATGGGGAGGGCAAAAGAGAGGGGAGGGAATCTCTCTCTCTCTTGCCTACACCACCACACAGCAGACAAGAGGCAGTGCCTGCTTTGCCACACCCACACCTTCAGGGTTGGCTCACCCAGAGCCACCACATGCAGGTGCAGCTCTATTGTGTGGCTCGGATGAGGGGCAGGGACAGCTCTTCCACTCTGATGATCTCTCAGGGCCAGCGCATCTACCAGCTGTAGAAGACAAGGGGTGGATGGTAGGGGGCATCTCTCCCTGACCCATGCTGCTGCACAGCAGACAAGAGGCAGGGTCAGCTTTCCCAAGATCATGATGTTGGGGGCTGGCTTGACTGAGCCCTGGCCATCAGTGCCAGCTATACTATTTTCCCCAAGGGAGATGCAGAGCCTGCTGTCCTGAGCACTGCAGCTGGTTAGGGGGAGGGGCAGTTTTCCTGCTCTCATGCCTCCAGGACCAGCTGTCCCACAATGCCCAGGTAAGGGGTAGGGCCAGTTCTGTATAGCCCTCAAACATCAGCATCTCCCTGGGCAGTAGCCCAGATCAGGGACATCTGCCTTGCCTTTACTGGCAATAGACCTCTGCTGCTGCAGGGCCACAGACCCAGACATGACCCCATGTGGCAACACATGCCAGGACCCCACCATGCTACCAGTTGGCACCACCGACTACTCACATCAGGCTGTTCCTCACTTTGCTCAAGTCTCCAGTCCTGCTTGTCTTCATTGTGCCCACATTCTTCCATTTCTCTTTCTTTTCCACTTCTGCACCACTTACTTACTTTTCTTAGTGGCTACTGGGGTCTCTGAGTATTTGGGGTCTTCTCAGGAATGGTCTCAAGAGTGCTATGCATTATGATGCTTAACAGGGGTCATCTTTGGCATAACTTACCGCCATACCCTAACCAGTGCTGGACTGGTGGTCCCCTCAGACTAGCTCCCTGCTTGGGCCCCATGGTGCTAGTCTGGTAGTTGTCTCAGGCTCCCTCTGGAGTAGCCCCTTGCAAAGGTCATCCTACTGTAAGGTTATGGGACAAACTAACTAAATAAAGATTAGGGGTATGACAGATCTTATATAAAAAAGAGGTTTATTAGGTGGATATGGAGAGAGTGAGAGAAGGGAGAACGGGTAGAGGAGGACATGATGGGGGAAAGAAAAAGAGAGGGGGGAAAGAGAGAGAAGGGGAAAGAGAGAGGGGGGAAGAGAAAGAGGGTGCCCCATAGAGAGGAAGGACCAAGACAGAAAGGACCAAGAGAGCAAGAGAGAGACCACCTGTCGGGGGTTGTCCTTTTAAGGGGCAAAGTAACCATGCCTTCCAGGTGTGGCCACCTGGCCAGCGACACATGATGACATCATAAGTTGCTAGGCAACCCAGAAGCAGGTTTTGTTCCAAAATCCTAACAGCTACTTGAGCTTAGTTCTTCCTGAAGCCTGTAGTCCCAGGTCCCAGGCAGGGTTCTTCTAGTCTCTGACTTACTCCCCATCCTGGGAGCCATTCTGGGCCCCCAGGCTAGCGTGGCTAGCTTTTTTTCCAGGGAGTGTTAGGTTACTGGTTATTCAGATGTTCACAGGGCAGAACCCTGGGCAGAACATATCCTCTCTGCCACCTACTGACGCACAGGTGACACAGCAACCACACCTGCAATGCTCCCAGATGAACCCAGTGCTCTTAACTGATGAACTCTCCAACTTGTCACTGTAAATTTTATTCAGTGAAGTTTGGGTCCTTTAGTTTCGTGGGTTGTTTGTAAACAGGTCTCATTATGTACAGGCTGCTCTAGACCTGCCACCATCCCCCCAGTCTCATTCTCTCAATTGTTGGGATTACCGGAGGAAGCCAACACTCTAGCATAAGAGTTTGCATTTTTCGATTCACCTTGATTATATAATGCAATTTTTCCTGGCCTTCAGATTCTTAATTAGAAAGTAACTAGAGGATTTTTTTTAACCATTTTTTGAGAATGTAAGATGTGCTAGGCACTATACAAGCACCGAGGACACGGATCGCGTGACTTTGGTTCTGTGCATTTAGAGTAAAATGACGCGATGGAAAATCTGAAGTCACAAAGGCCAGTTGGAGAAAAGTCACTTTGGTTAATCACCCTTGAAAGATCCCATTACTATTCATACTTTTAGTATTTTCTACTAGCCAACAACAAAAACTTATTAAAAAATAAGACCGGAAAAAAAAAAAATAAGACCGGAAGGGTAGAGGTATTCAAGATCTACTGTGTCAAACAGAAAAACCCACAAACAGCATTAGATTTCTGTGGCTATAGGCAAGAATTAGCATTCATGGAATGAAAAGCAGCTTGCCCTCTTCAGTACTGATTAAAACCCGGAGGAACACTTAACTCTTGTAAGGGGGCGCTCAAGGTGAACTGAAACAATGCTGCAGTTTCCTCGGTTAGGGCGCAGGACATTTAAGGTACTTTAAATGTAGGCTAGCCAAGATAAATCCGAGCTAAAACAAGCCACAGGGTTAACATTCAGGACTTCCAAACTGTTACGCGCCTCAGCCTCCGGCCGGCACAGTACTTCTCGGAACTTGGATGAACCTCCTCATCGCTCGCAGACTTCGTTTCTGACAGCTGCATTACATCGTTTTATTTTAGTCAATTTCCATCAGAGCCGCGCCAACCGCTGCAATCCTCTTTCCAGACTTTGCAATCGGCCCTCTTCCAGCCAGCTGCGGCCGCTGCATACTCCCTGCGCCCCTGGAGAGAGCCGTATCCCATTGGCTCAGCGCGGAGCATGCTTGGCTTCCTATTGGTCAAGAGGAGGAGGCGGGACAGAGGTGTGGCCTTACGTCACGCCGGCCCCTCGCGGCACAGGACTGTGGGAGAAAGGGAGGGGACCCGGGAGAAACTAAACACCCGGAACGACCTTTGCGGTCCGGGGCGGTGGTAGCCCGGAGCCTCTGTCTCCGCCCACCGGCAGGACGGGCTCCGCCCGCACTCCGCCAGCTAGGCCATCAGGTGATCGTAGGCGGGTGTGGTCACGTGGATCGGGCGGGCGCGCCCGAGCTGGCCATGGCGGCCGTGGTGTCCGGTGTGGTGAGGCGGGTGGAAGAGCTCGGGGACCTGGCTCAGGCCCACATACAGCACCTTAGCGAAGCCGCGGGGGAAGACGGTGAGGGAGCGCCGCAGTTGGAGGCGGGCGGACGGGGTGAGGCCCTTGGGGCCGCCGCACTCGGTGGCCGGAAGGCGCGGCCTGCGGTCCGAGGCGGGGTCCTTGGGCCTGGCCCACTGAGGGCTGGCGCTGCTGAGCACCACGGTCCCCATTGGGCAGTCATTTGCCCTCTCCTCAGAAGTCATGTTGCCAATGCAGCGTTTTTTACATTCCTTGAAAAAACATACCGTTTGTTTACATTCAGCCAGATGTGTGGTGTCGAATCTGCGAAAAGGGTAGACTTCGAATAAATGGACCTTTTCCTGAATATTTACACTGTCCACAAAGGATTGATAATTTTTTTCCGCATCCAGTAAACACAAGGCGGGCATGACAGTTCACTTTCTCTGTACTGCCTTGTAATTTCCACTTTGTGTTCAATTCAAAATTCAAGTGCAAATAGTATTTTGCACAGTTATGATGTAATTTAAATGTGCTCCCCCCATCTTAGTTCTCGCAAAGCCATGTATATACTGAGAAATGTCTGAGCTGTTTTCTTAGGAGAAGGGAAATGGGTTAGGATATACATCGTTCTTTTGACATCAGAATCAGTTTGCTTTTTTATAATTTCTCAGTTGCCAGTTGGTTCAGCAGTACTATTTTCGAATGTTGAGCCTTTACCATACATGAGCTATACAATTCTTGTGATTGGACTCATGGGAAAATTGGAGTGAAACATTTTCCCAAGTGGTTGAATAGTTGGTATATTTACAAAATCGGCTCTACATTTAAATGACCCACTTTAAATGAAAAGCAGAACCCACACACCGCACTGAGCCTGTCTTTCGGTTTGTGGCAAGTGAAACATATAGAGTTCAGTAGTCTTTGTTACTTTGTCTGTGTCCATGTGTCAGCCCACAGAGAATTCGAGTAGGTCTATTCACTTACTGCCAAACCTAACTGTGATTCATATTTTCTTTTTGGAAGAAATCTGTGATCCGATGTAGGAAGCCTGGAAAGAAATGTTAGTGTTACATGGCTTTGTTTGGAGGCTTGATACATCCAAAGATTTACTAAAATCACAGCAGTAGCCATCCACTTTATGGGCACTAGTCAGCATTGGAGTTAATCTTACTAGAGAATTACTGACAGGGCTTATTTAAGTTTAATTAAAATGATTATATGTATTTGAATTAAAGTTGGTTCTTTTTCATACAAGCAAACCAGTTCATATTGGAAATTTGTCCTTTTGCTTAATAGTTATATATTTTAATTAAGTTGTCAGTATTGAGAGTTTCTATTTTATTCAAACTAAATTATACTAATCTTCATTCCACTTAAAAACTTTGTATTTATTGCCTTTTTTTTTATTGTTGTTGTTCATCTATTTCTGGTTCTTAACAGTATGATACTGTCCTACATGGAATTATACCATAAGGACTTTTTTCAGGGATTGAGTCACTTCTATCCTTTTCTTTGACAGTTTACTTTAAGTATTTCTAGTAAAGGGAAGTATTTTTCTTTAATTCTTTATTAATTACACTTTATTCACTTTGTATCCCCTCTGTGGTTCCCTCCCTCCTCCCATCCCAATCCCTCCCTTCCTCCACCCTCTGCATGCATGCCCCTCCCCAAGTCCACTGATAGGGGAGGTCTTTTTTTCATTCCTTCTGATCCTTGTCAATTGGGTCTCATCAGGAGTGGCTGCATTGTCTTCTTCTTTGGCCTGGTAATGCTGCTCCCCCCTGAGGGGGAGGTAATTAAAGAGCAGGCCAATCAGTTGATGTCAGAGACAGTCCCTGTTCCTATTACAATGGAACCCACTTGGACACTGAACTGCCATGGGCTACATCTATGCAGGGGTCTTAGGTTATCTCCATGCATGGTCCTTGGTTGGAGTATCAGTCTCAGGGAAGACCCCTGTGCTCAGAATTTTTGGTTCTGTTGCTCTCCTTGTGGAGTTCCTATCCTCTCCAGATCTTACTGTTTCCCACTTCTTTCATAAGAAGGGGAAGTATTTTTTATGGACCAGAATGATATTTGTGTCACCACCATACCTATCCCTCAACAATAATTCTAACATCTTTCTTCATTAGTAGCATTCACAATAATTTTGGAATTAAGGGACAAACATAAACAGCTTCTAAAGCACGTGGGGAGTGCCATGTTCCACACTGTTTTGGTTCTCAGTAGACTCTTGTTTTCTGGCTCCTATGGTTGACACTTCTAGGCTAAGAGGTGATGGGAAGAAGAACCTTCTGTCCGGGTGAGTAGTAATCTGAACAGCAATAGAAAAGCTTCTAAAGCTACAGCTTAGTGGGGGGAAACTAAAGATCATTTTTTGACTGTCAGCTGACAATCCTGATGGTATTTTTATCCCAACACTGAACATACCATCTCTTTATGTAACTGCAGAGGCTGGATCAGATTAGGCCACACTAGCTACTACATCGTCTGTCCGTTGGTGAATAATTAGGAAAGGTTCTGTATTTCAGAGAAGATGCTTAGAGACTTTAGTGTCTTGTACTATGATATGCATATATACAGTATGAAGTGAACCCGAAGGTGGACAGTATCTTTGGGGCCCTCAGAATCTGAAATCAGAAGAAAAATGGTGATAAGATGGTGAAGGTTGGAAAGCTGGGTAAATTGTGATAAGAAAGCTTATAGGAAGTATTGGGGGTTTTGTTGTTTTCTGTAGGTTTTGAAAGGAGGTAATTCATTCCATTTCGAAATTTTAAAGAAAAAAGATAACCCTTTAAATTGTTATTATAGTTATAGCATACAAGCATGGTAAGATTAGAATTGTTTACAGTCTGATAGTTTATGAATATTTGATCTGGCCAATTATTCTTTTTTTTGGCCAATTATTCTTTTAGGAAACATTTGCAGTTACATTTATGAAATTGCATGCATTTAGTGGAAGCTCTTTCTGAAAACTTGTCTATTTTGTATTATTCCAATAAAAGATATAAATTTATTAAATATTTTGGGTATATAGTAAATATTTGGGTATATCAACATTGTAAAAGAAATATTGTAAAAGAATGGGCTGAGAGCTACATTGGTGGCTTAGTAGGTCAAGCACTTGCTGTGCAAGCATGATGAACTGCCATAAGTGCCGAGTGGCCATATGGTCCACACGTATCCTAGTGCTCCCAGATCTAGTTGACTATCTTGAGTAGCACAGTCACAAGCTCTGCATTCATGTGGGTGACCCTGTCTCCACAGACATGGTGAGGAACGCTTGAGGAAGACACCTCGATGTCAGTCTTTACCCTCCACATGCACACCCACACCTGTGCCCACAAGTGTATAGACATGCATATCAATAAAGAAGTGAGCTGAATACTTCATTCCTCAATAAAGTCTCTTAAAAAAGAATGTAGACCCAATTTAAGAAATAGCAGTAAATCTAAAAAGCTTGCTTTTGAAAATCTAAAATCCTTTGCTTTTGAAAATAAATTTACTTGATTGTGATCGGGTTTTATGTATGAAATGCTTAATGTTTTAGGTAAGATATTATTATCTTGCCATGATTTCATTACATCATTTTTGTTACATAATTTTTTGTTTAAATGTTTGAATTTATATAAAATAATCATGTTTTTATTACTTACAGATCACTTTTTAATTCGGGCCTCTGCAGCTCTAGAAAAATTGAAACTTTCATGTGTTGAAGAGAAGGAATGTTCAAATCCATCAAATCTTTTGGAACTCTACACACAGGTACTAAAACAAGTGGTTTTGTTGGGGGCATGTGCACGTACATATGTACGCTTCTGCTCGTGTGTATGTTCATGTGCAGGCCAGAGGTTGATGTTTCTTCAGTCATTCTTTTGATTTTATATCACTGATTGTGCTTGTAGTGTTTCATGTGTTTTACATATGCAGTTTATGCTCAAAGGAGGGAAATTTGAAAAGCATTGAGATGTCCTCGGTTCATTTGGTGAACAGTAGAAAAACTAACACTACAGCCCAGTTTCCTTAGTATTAATCCAGTAGGTTAAGTAAGTAAAAGAACTAAGGACTTTTAAGGTCTGGTAGGCTATGGGGACTCAGGGTTGGAATTGCATATGTTGATAGCATGCTTCTTTTATGTGGTGGAAGGATGTGTGCACTCAAATAGTGGCTGTATATTTGGGAAAACAAATCCTCCAAAGATTCAATATTGAAAAGTGGAAATAGACTGCAATACTTCAGGCATTTATAAAATTTTTAGGTGTTATACAAATATAATTTCATAATTGATTACATTTTAATAATAATAACATGTTAACTAAAACATGATTCTTCACTTCTTGAAACAGTGTCATCACTAATCTTGTTTATGTCTGAACATTTTGCTTACTTTCAAATTTAGATACTGTGCTGACATGGTTGAATGTCTAATAAAGCCTCTGTATACGAACAGCCAAACTTCCTTATTCTTTGAAGCTCTGTCACTCACAGATGCCTTTTTTTTTCTCTTCTTAAGGCCATATTGGACATGACATATTTTGAGGAGAATAAGCTAGTGGATGAGGATTTTCCTGAAGACTCTTCTCCCCAGAAAGTAAAAGAGCTTCTCACTTTTCTATCAGAACCAGAAATTTTAGTTAAAGAAAACAGTATGCATCCCAAAGTAAGTTCCTCACTCACAAATGATTGTAGAACATTGTCACATTGCCCTGCTGCTGTCCTGTTCTTTAGACTGTATTTTTGTTGCTAATGAATGTATCTTCAAGTTAAGATTAAAAGAAGAGGTTTGCCAGGAGTGATGTTACATGCTTTAATCCTATCACTTGAGAGGCAGAGGCAGGGGATCTCTGTAAGTTCGAGGCCTGTCTGATCTACATCATGCGTTCCAGGCCAGTCAAGACTAATTAGAAAGATCTTGTCTTAAAAAGAGAAAGGGTGGTGGTAGAGGAGGAACTTAACACTCTAGGTTGTGATCAGAAAAGTGTATTTTATTAACTACTTTTAGAATATTTACGTAATAGAATTTTAATTGCATTGCAATTAAATTAAATCCTTTTCTAACGTAGATATTCCCTTGTTGATTTTACTTTTACTTTTGTAGGTCTGTTTCTTGTGAGTCATATAATGTGATTACTACATTTGTTTTTTATTGCCTTTATTTATTCATTCATTCATATATTTATTTTTAAGTTTTTGAGACAGAGTCTCATTGTGTAATGCTGGCTGGCCTTTAATTCTGTACACCAAGCAGAAATCCACCTGCCTCCACCTCCTAAGTACTAGGATTAAAATTATGTCCTACCATACCCAGTCCTTACTTTCTGTTTAAAACTCTGATTCTGGTGAGCATTTGCTACCCTTCTTCCTAGCACTGCTCACCTGTACCCTACATGCTCTTTTCACCTTCATCTTAAGAAGCATTCCCTTGGTCTTTGTCAGAAACCCTCCTCTTTTTAATTTTAGAGACAGGTGTTGCTCAAGAATGTCTTTTATCTTTTGATAGTTTCTGTTATGTTTTTGTCCTGTTTGCACAATTTTTAACTGCCTTCTGTAGTTGGGCTAATATATCTAATCCTAGTTATTTTTGTAAAAGATCTATCTATTATGTATACAGTGACTGCCTACATGTATTCCTGCACGCCAGAAGAGGGCACCACATCTCATTATAGATGGTTATAAGCCACTGCATGGTTTCTGGGAATTGAACTTAAGACCTCTGGAAGGGTAGCCAGTGCCCTTTGCCTCTGAGTGATCTGTCCAGCCCTATTTCTTTTAAATATTTTTAACGTTTATTTGTGGGTGTATATGTGTGCCACAGTACACATGTGGAGGTCAGAGAACAACTTGCAGGAGTCAGTTTTTTTCTTCCATTGTATGGGTTCTAGAATTGAATTCAGGTCTTAAGGCTTGGCAGCAAGCTGAGCCATTTCTCTAGCCCTGCTGAATACTACTTCAAGTAAATTGTTTCTTGTCTTTAAGTGTCTGCTGAATTTCTACCTAAATACCTTCTTGGTTCTATGTATTCATCAGGACTGGCTAGCTGGAGAAGTAAATTAATCCAAGATTTAAAGATACCACTGCAAACATTTTGATTTATTAAGTTAGTCATTAAAGTTAGTTATTTATTAAAGTTAGTCTTTGTATAAACTTTTCATTATTATAACATAATTCTTATTCTAGTCTTTAGTTTCTATTTTTTTCTAAAAAAATGTTTTTCTAAAAGGGAATCTTTTAATGAGATAATGAATTTTTCAAATAATAGTTGGGGAATTTGCTACTATAATATTTCAAGTTATTTTATGAAACTATTTGTAAATTGTAGAGTTATTTTGCTGTATATCTACTAGCAGGTTACAGTATTTCTATTTAATTCAAATATAAGTATTTTTCTGTAACCTAACCTGTACACGTTCTGTGAAATGAGTGTTTTTAGTTGTTTAGTTTTCCTTAAAAATTTGATTTTTATACACGTATGGTTTTTCTTTGTGGCTATGCCTTTTATGTTTTCTTTTAGCTGTGTGATTTGCTTGGGGATGAGCTACTGGAATGCCTCTCTTGGAGACGAGGGGCCCTGTTGTATATGTATTGCCATTCTCTCACTAAGAGAAGGGAGTGGCTCCTGAAAAAATCTAATCTCCTTCGAAAGGTAAAAAAATGTTTCATTTATTATTTTGATTGCTGACACTTACAGGATTTAAAACATTTTATAATGACACTAGTGAGATCAGAAGTGCTGGGCTAGTAGACCACAGTGAGGTTCACAGGCTGTGCTCTTGGAGTTGCTATGAAAACTAAGATGACACATGAAAGAATGTCATCCTTTGGAGAATACTACATGTGTTTAAGTTCTTGATTTTCATTTTTATTTGAATATAAGAGCTATTAATTCTAAATATTTTATTTGGTTGAAGTAGTCTTGTTGTGAGTCTCTCTTTGTATGCAGGGTACTTCTAAGGAGCCTATATGACCATGTTATTAAAACAGTATGACCTCTGATTTGTCTCTATTCTAACAATTATTATTCCAAAGACATTAATTTTAGTAAGATGTCACTAAGAATTCCAGCTCAGTCTAAATGTACCCATAGTTTACAGAGGCTTGGAAACTGGAGGCCATATTTCCAGGTAGAAAAATTTAATTAAAACGTATTTGAATCATAAAAAAGGCTGAGAATATAGCTCCCTGTTAGAGCACTGTCTAGCACGCATGATGAATGCCCTAAGTTCAGTTCCCAGGACTGCAAAACAAACAAGACTCCATATAAATACATAGTAAAGTCTTTTTGAACTCAACTTTACAGCATTCATCATTTGATAACATTTTTGAACAAATATATTACTGCAGCGTGTGTTTGTGGTTGATAGTTTCTCCGTGTTCCACATTCTTATTATTTGGGGGATTTACTTATATTAAGACAGTCTTAGAATGGTGAGTCCTTTGCCATTGGAATGTAATAATAATTATATGTACCTATTTATCAGTCCATTTAATCCTGAGTCAAGAATGAGAAAAAAGTACTTGTCTTACAAGTTCTTTGTATAATATTTTAATTTATTTTGCTTCTTTACTTAGTACCTTATTGATGGGATCAGTTACTTGCTGCAGATGCTAAATTATCGATGCCCTATCCAGTTAAATGAAGGTGTTTCTTTCCAAGACCTAGACACAGCTAAATTGCTGAGTACAGGTAATGTGGTTTCCTTCCTTCCTTCCTTCCTTCCTTCCTTCCTTCCTCCCTCCCTCCCTCCCTCCCTCCCTCCCTCCTTCCCTCCCTCCCTTCCTCCCTCCCTCTTTCCCTCCTTTTTTTTGAGACAGGGCTTGGTTTCTCTGTGTAACATAGCCCTGGCTGTCCTGGACTCACTCTGTATATTAGGCTGGCCTCGAACTCACAGAGATCCACCTGCCTTTGCCTTTCCGATTGCTGGGATTACAGACATGTACTACCACGGCTGGCAAGTAATGTGGTTTCTTGTTAAAGATTCTAAGTGATTGGAGGTTTGTTTATTTTTTCTTTAAATTTAGATAGTTTGCTAACTTTACTCTCATGTAAATTTCATACTAAACTTTAAATGAATCCAAGTACTAAAATATTTTAATGTAATGTAGAAAAACACTTAAAAAATACTTAGTTTTGGCTAGATGTGGTGGCACATATCTTTTAATCCCAACACTGAAGAGGCAGGTGGATCTATGAGTTTGAGGTGAGCTGGTCTGCATAGTGATGTATTATTTATATATAAACTTTTATTCACGATACTGTGCATGGGTGAATGGGTGTGCACGTATGTTGTACCCATGGAGGTCACAAAGGATGCCAGAGCTGAAGATAATTTGGGAGAGTTAGTATATCATGTTTTTTTTTTTTTTTTTGTTTGTTTGTTTGTTTATTTTTGTTTTGACCAGAACTACATTTGGCTATTAATATCATACTGGAAGTAAGTTTTAAAGAAGATAGACATTTAGGGCTCTTTATGTGCTAATTGTACTTGCTAAGTAGAAATTGTTTTACACATATAAATCATCATGTAGCATGGCTCTCATTTTCATGAATACAAATCCAGACTGTTCTTCAGTAATTACTTTGTATTGATACAGTGCTTCAGTGAGTCAGCCATCCTGCTGAACCTTCATTTCCACTATTTTAAGGAAGAATTTCAAGGTGACAACATATAAGGACAAATTTTGGGACTTTGATACATTTAAAACAGTAGAACTGCAATCTGTTGAGTTCTATTGAGTTGTTTTAGGTGAGTGTCTTAGTCATTGTTCTGTTGCAGTGAAGAGACACCATGACCAAGTCATCTCTTAGGAAAGAAAGCATTTAATTGGGAGCTTGCTTGCAGTTTCAGAGGTGTAGTTTATTTTTATAATGGTGGGAGCAGGTAGGCATTTTGCTGGAAAAGTGGCTAAGACCTACACCATTATCCACAGGAAGCAGGCTCTCAGAGAAGGGGGAAGGGAGGCAGAGAGGCAGACTGACTGACTGACTGACTGACTGACTCTTGGCTTCAAGGAAATTTGAAAGTCCACCCCTCAGTGACACACCTCCTAACACCAGTCTATACCTTTAATCCTTGTAAATAATGCAACACCCTGGTGACTAAGCATTCAAATACATGAACCTGTGGGGGCCATTCTTATTTAAATCAACATAGTGAAGTTGACATCATCATTTATTTGAGGTAAATTTCCTTATCTCACACAAGTACTTATACATCAGAATAAATATGTACTTGTGTGTGACCCTAAGAAGTTGAATGATCATATATTTTAATACCATTTTTTGTTTTAATTATTTACTTTTTAATCTTCTGGGTCTTTGAAATAAGGTTTTACTATGTAGCCTAGGTTAGCGTGGAACTTCTATGTAGTACAGGAGGCTGGTCTGCAATAGTAATCCTGCACACCTCCAGGGCTATTGTGATTACAAGAGTTCCTACTACTCCTGGCCCACCTAGACATCTTATTCTGATTTATCTTTCTAACAAATTAACATGCTTTGATCATAAATATTTAATTATACAATCTCTAGGAATAAAGGTAAAGGAATATTCACCTAATGGAAATTGTCCTGGATATTTTTCCCTAGTGATATAAAGCATATTGGTTATCATTTATCCATTTGTGATAATTTAGAATTCTGTAGTCTATTAAACACATGAAATTATCTGTAGAGTCATACTTAGAACATGTCATAACAAGTCAGTCATCAGTTATCCTAGAGCATCCTTTAAAATAAATTTTGTGTTCATGGTGTGATTCAAAGAATTTGTGAGAATTGTGAAGTTGTACACAGAATTAAGGTATAATCTAGAAGGTACACACCAGTAAAATTAATTCTCAAAAAAAATTTCTAAAGAGGGATAGAAATGTTAACTCCACCCAAGTGGTTAAAAAACAAAAACAAAGAAACCCTCTGCTTAAACCTCTGTGTTGTCTTCTAGTAAAAGACAGAAGTGCTAAGAGTGTGCTAGTGATAGTAGGCTTCTCCATGTATTGGTAAATGGTATGAAAAAGGTTTATTGGCAAAGATTTTGTTAGTTTTACAATAACTTGAGGGTTTTTTTTTATATAAAGTTAATTCTAATTTCAAAATAAATGACCTTCCCAGGAATATTTAGTGATATTCATGTGCTGGCTATGATGTACAGTGGAGAAATGTGCTACTGGGGATTAAAGCATTGCACAGACCAGCAGTCAGAAAATCACGAAGTTGACACTGATGTGTTTGGAGCAAGTGGTACCACACACAAAGAACCCTTGGATTTCCGAGAAGTAGGAGAAAAAATTTTGAAGAAGTATGTGTCAGTGTGTGAAGGACCTCTGAAGGAGCAGGAGTGGAATACAACGAATGCAAAGCAGATATTAAGCTTCTTCCAGCAGCGCTGTAGCTAGGTGTTCATCTAGTCTTCATAACTCCAAAGAAGATCGCTGAAATGGAAAAGAAGTCTTGAGAAAAGGAGATGCACCACACTGATCTGGAGAGTATTACACTATGTGAAGATGTCCGAGTGGCTACCCTTCTCTAGTGCTGTCACCTTACATTGTATAGTCTTAAATCTGTGAAGAAAGTATTCTCTAACTTCTAAAATGGAATATATGTTATTCCAACTGAACTTAAATTACATACAGCCCTGCCACTGGTAAGGAGGAACCAATGTAGATTGACAGTTTTCTAATATTTTAAGTTATATTTTCATTGTGGTAAAATTATGTAACAATCTCCTTATTTTGAAGTGTGCATATTTCAAAGGTGAAAATCAGTTTTTCTCCTTGTTTCAGATATATACTGTGGATATAAATGTAGGCCATTAAATGATTATGACTAATATTTAAATTTCATTTCCAGTTAAGCTAAACATCAAAAGATTTAAAAAATGAATATTTATTTTGCCATGTATTACTAGTAATACTTAAATTATTTACTTATCCATTTTATAAATTATTTTCTTGTTTTGTTTAAAACAAAAATTGCATGGTTTCTCCAAAAATGAAGATAAAAATCAGTGTAGGTGAGTATCATTAGTTCAGGTGCTTTTAGGGCACATCTTTGCGTATAATGAACTTTACGTTTTGCCTTTGGCAGGATTGAAATGCTGAAGGCAAAAGAACCTAGTTTGCTGTCTTGCTCACTGTTTTTCTGCCTACCTCAACTCTTGTCACCTTGCAATGGTCTGTATGATGCCTTCTGATGCAGTAGGCTCTGTAGCCGTGACATCTTCACACTCCAGTACTTCCTGTGACTAAGTATTAGCCAATCTTGGCTTCTCTTTCTAAAATTGTAAATTTCAGTAACTGATGACAATTCTCACCTTCCCAGCTTTTAAATTTTTCTTATTTTTATTGCTTTATTTTTCTGTTTTTGTTTTTTTTTCCTATAACTTTCAATCTTTTCAGGGGCTTTTCTTGACAGTCGTCCTAACTCCTGAACGGTGAAGCCTCTTTTATGCTTTTCTGCATTGTTTTCTCTTCCATCCTATCTGTTAGTGTCACAGTCAGCAGGCTTTCTACACTGTATTAATCTTGGCAGCCATTCATTCTTAGGAGGCTAAGTTCTATGAAAGGCAGGCAGTTCTTTAAAGCATATTACTACACATGCAACATCACGTAGAAGAACCATAACTACATGGTACTATGGTGCCTCTCCTTTGCCACTGTGGTAGAATCAAATTTTATGTCTCCTTTACATTGTTCTTTCACAGAATGTTTAAGTTATGAGGGAGTCAACTCATATTTACTCATTTTTCTGTTTTAAAGGGAAAGCAGCTCTACTTTCTGTTGAAGACTAATTTTTATTATTTTCTTTGTTTCTCTTAGAGTTCATGAAAGTTCTGTTTTCTTCCATTTTTCTCTCTCTTTTTCTTTTTCCTCCAAATACTAATTGTAAGCAGTATTTTTCATAGCCATGGTGACTTATACCACCTGTAGTATCAGGCTGATTTCCATGCTAGGAACTGAAAACCCAGTCTCCTTGCTCTTTGAGCTTTATTTTTAGCTGCCTGTTAAATGTCTTCACTTTCATTTTAAGTTCAGTATGGACAAACAACAAATTTTCATATTTTATGGAAAAATCTCTGCTTTATTTCCCCCAGTTATGTATATTTTTCCAAGTAGGGAAACATAAGGCTTCCCATCCCATCCTCATTTCTATACACAATCTGATTTGTGTTCTAGAACAATCTTTTTCAAACATCGAAATCCCAGGCCCCTTTTTGATAAATAAAAATCTGAATAAACATTGGAAGCCAGGGGAGATTCTGCCATCCCTGCTACAGCCCCTGCCCTATCTTTATACAACCAAGATTTTTATGTAACCTAGCATTTTAGCAAGTTTTATTATGATAACACCTAAGCTTTCTAAAATTAAATAATCTTTTAATGTGAATTTTAGAAGCACACATTTCTTCAGTGGATCATATTAATCAAGTGCTTCCAGTACCTTTCCCAAATGCACTTATGTTATACAACCTTAATACCTTGTGGCCAGATTATCCTTTACTTGTATGATATACCTTTAGTAATACTGTATCCAAAGGCCCTTTTCTGCCCTTTCCAGTAGAAATTAGATGCTCTTCTATTTTCTCTATTTTACTTTTCCGTATTACCACAGTACAATGTGTTCCAATTATTTTCCTTGCTGCTGATTGAAGTCCATATCTTAAAAGTTTTATCTTTACACATACTGCTCATTGCATGGTGGGTAATAATGTTTTTGAATTAATGAGGCATGATTTAAAATGCCGAATTTTGCACAAAAGGGTTGCTGCTATTGCTTTCCAAACTGCCATGCCCTCTATACCAGTGGTTAATACAGCAAAGGGAAATATATATATTTCCCTTTGCTGTATATAATATAATATATGTATATAATATAATATACATATAATACAGCAAAGGGAAATATATATATATATTTATATATATATATATATTTAATATATATATTAAATATATATATTAAATATATATATTTATATATATATATAAATATATATATTTA